ACGAGTAGAACACAGGACACCCTACCACACAAGCTGAAGGTGCGCGAGCTCCCTTTCAGGGGGGGTGTCCTTGAGGACTTACCTCTCTGGGTGGGTAACCTTAGTATAGGAGCAGAAAACTGTTCCTGAGCAAAGGACCTAGCAGAAAACAGCAGGCTTGTGGGGGGGGGAGGGTGGTCGGGTGTAAGAAAGACAGCCCTGCAGAAGGAGCTGGGGGAGGGGGGCCTGTGCTCTCTTCCGGGACAGTCCACCCCTGGAAAGCACACACTCACCCGTCCAGATGGAACTCCTCAGTACCTAAACAGGGCCGCCTGGTAGCCCGATGATCCGGAGACAAAAGGAAAAAACCGGGCAGGTGGGACTAGATCCAGGAGTGCACAGGGACCCCTGGAGCACAAGCTGAAGGTGCCCGGGCTCCCTTTCCGGGGTCCTTGAGGCCTGCCTGGTAGGCAGGCCCTCACCGCTCTGGGTGGGTCGCCTTAGTGTAGGAGCAGAAAACTGTTCCTGAGCAGAGGACCTAGCAGAAAACGCAGGCTTGTGTGTGTGTGTGGGGGGGGGGGGGGGGGGTCGGGTGTAACAAAGACAGCCCTGCAGAAGGAGCTGGGGGAGGGGGGCCTGTGCTCTCTTCTGGGACAGTCCGCCCCTGGAAAGCACACACTCACCCGTCCAGATGGAACTCCTCAGTACCTGATAATTGCAACTTTTTAAGCCATGGCTTTATTTTTACTCACTTGGTTTACAATTGAAGAGATCCATTATACATCTGGAAGACATGGCTATCTTTCAAACATTTTGGAATGATTAGTTGAGAACCATTTTGTCCCGGGACTCTAAAAAGCTCCATCATCTTTTGCATCAACTCCTGCAGAAAAGAAATTTAGTGCTCAAATATTTCACATTTGCTTAAGAATCAACTGGGAGGAGTAAAATAAGCCTGCGAGACTCTTGTGCTGTACGATAAAGGATGCTAATAGGTTCACATTTTGTCTTAATTGGCACAGGAGTAAACTTAGTTTCATCAGTGAGGAAACTTCTGACTATTTGCCTGGAGCGAATTAGGCCTATAAACATAATTGGATGATGGATTCTTCCTAGTGCGGAGACCCATTTTACCAGTTTGTCTTACCTCTCTTGTCTTGTCTTTTCTTCTGTCAAATGTATTCCACCCCTTTGGGGCTTTTTGTCTCCTGGTATTTTCAGAATATTGTAGCTGTCCCATTTCCTCATCCCCCTATAGCTTTCACCTGAGCGTTGATTTCTCTCTCATGTGTGTGTCAGGTTTATTACCAGAGAGATTCCAGTCTAGTACTTGCCCAGTTTGCTCTTTTGTTTTAAAGGCTGGGTTTCCTTATATAAACGAGGCTCGCATTAAACACACCATCGTCTTGACTCACCTCTCAAGTGATGGCAGTGTGGGGGTTCACCACTGATACAAGCAGCTAATTTGACATATTGATAGGGTTGCCTGGAGTCATCGCTAGCCGAACTACTTCACTGAGCTTTCAAGGGAATACCTGATACTGAAGCTCAAAGAAACCCAGGCCTGAGAATCACTGTTAGGGTCCTGGTGCATAAAGAGGAGTCTAATAAGTATAGGAATGTTCATGTGGACTGGACTAGTGATTTATAGCTCATAGAAAATGTTCAGTTTCACTGAGACAGTGGAAGGTGATATGCTGAAATAATTGCTCTATCATTTTAGAAACTAGATGAATCTTAAAGGGCAGGCATTTCTTTCTGCAGTTTTTGGGGCTGAGGAGTCTAAGTAAGATACCTGGAGTTTGGAGAGGGTCTACTTGCTGCATAAAGGTGGGAAGGGAAAAAGAGATGGTCTTTCTAAGTTCAACACTTTTAAAAAAGTACCTAATTCTACTCTTGATGGGAGGCGACCTCTAAATCTTTCCTTGAATGCCATTGCATAGGCCAACAAATTTTAAGACCAAAATGCTCTTGAGTCTGTTGCTTAATCATAATGTAACTCAGTGGAAGTCACTAAAATAATCTGTGTTCAGTACTGTACTGGGGTTTGTTCTGACAAATTTAATGATGTCAATTAGGGACAACGTGAGCTGGTTCTGGCTCTGCTTCTTGTATCATAGTAAGCATCGGGGAGGAGCTTCATGCTGTACTGCACTTGAAGTTGCTGCTAAGACCAGTCACATGACCTTTCTTCTTTCTCTTTTTCTTCTGCTGTTCTCTCAACTGCTGGGTTTCACCATTTGGCATTATCTCAGAACAATACCCTCTTGCTACTGTCTCTTGTCAGATGTTCTCTAAGCCTAAGCCTGAGTGTCCCTACCTTTAGTCTGTGTTCCTCAACCAGAATTTATCTATGGGGCACTGTCTCAGCCCCCAAACATTCCAATCCCTCTTTGGGTGGGATTTAAGTTATTGAGTATGTATATATTTTCAGAGACAGGATTTTCAGAAAGGCTTCATTATGTCTTGGAGGTAATAGTAATTCTCAGAGCACCATGCACAATCATTTTTGAAAGTAAGTACAAAATTACATTTTGAAGTCAGTAGAGTTCCCTTGGCATTTCTCCTCGCATGACCAAGCTGGATAGAGTGCCTAATACATTAACATCGCTTTTCTGGGTAGTCAGAATGGACTAAAATGGAAATCAATGCCCAGTGATCCTGAAACTGATCCTATGCTGTCATCTATTATCTTCCTCCAGACTCCCATCTGTCCGTATCCCTGCCTTCTTTTTTGCAGAATGGCTTTTACACTCTTCTTTTTGCTTTTTCTAACCAAAGCTGTCAGCCAGTTCTTTTGGATGGGTGGGTTCACAAGCATCATTTTCCAAGATAGGCATATCTTTGATTCTTCACCTGCCTGTCTGAGTCCACTAACTTCAATGATGAAATCTTTTTCCATCTCCACACAACGCCATGGAGATTTATTTTCATAGTAAGCTTTCAGTTGCATTCCTCTGAAATACGTTGATGAATAAGGCAACTTTATGCGTAAGACCCCATTTTTATTAAATAATTTTCTTACTTCGTTGTGTATTTCATAGTTGTGTTGATCATATTTGCCCACCATCCCCTGACCCTTCCCAGATCACTACTCCTCTTCAGTTTTAAGTTCCTGCAAAACATTACTGACTTGTGCTGCCGAAACATTTTTGGATATGTGAACTGCTGCTGAATCATGGTCAACTATCATAGGTTATACTCCTAGAGAAAACTAAATCTCCCTCTCCCAATGGCTATCAACTGCCAATAGCTTCACCGCTATGTTTCAGCATCTTCAGCACAGAAAGGTACTCTGCACGCTATCAAAAAAGAAATGTAAACACCAAGCTAGCTTTAAATCTTCATCTACAATGATGTCCTTACTGAAAATTATGCTAGGGCTATGGTGGTGCAGCACTTGTGGAAGTAACTTTCTGATAACTGATTATACATACCTATGAGATAAGACCCATACTTAACATTGCTTGGGTGATGAAGAACCAGAGACCCAGGGCAATACCAAATAATATTTGTCTAAAAATGGGAAAAATGAAGTGATTAAGTGATTCCTATGATATTATCTTATACTCACAGGTTAGTGCTTTTTTCTCATATGATCAGAGAAGTTTCCTCCTGCAGCATATGGGCATGTGGGTAGAAATATAGAGACATTATACATAGAGTAAGAGACTTTGGGATACCCAGCCAAAAATCTGATGTCTCCATCAAATACCTACCCTCAGAGTTCAGGGAATGCCACAGAAGAGGAAGTGGCAAGATTATATTCTCCAGAGGGAAAGGAGGATATCAAGAAAACAAGACCCTCTAAATTGCTGTTTCTCATTCTTCGTAATGCTTTTGCACCTCAATAAATTCTTCAGGTTATGATGACCCACAACCATAGAACTATTTCCGTTGCTACTTTGTAACTGTAATTTTTAAAGGCTAATGATTTCTTATTGTTTTAGTATAGGACAAACTATCTTCTTACATATTTTAGTAAAATAAAATTAGGTTTACATCCACAAAACATATTCTGTATACTTTATATGTCACATAAAATACCTAGGTCTGTTTATTTATTTATTTATTTATTTTTACTGCATAATTGCAAATTTCAATTCTGTGGAAGCCAAGCAATCATGAGAGTGAAGGCTCTTCCCATACTGTTTTTTTTTGTACTTGCTTGATCAAGCGTTCCTTGATCTCATACAACACATTGTGACACAGGAGGAAGACTTTTACTCTTTCAAAGACAGTAATTTTTAAGTAGTGGAGTGTTTTCTATTTTGAAGACTAAACATTTTTCTCTGAGATTTTCTTGTGTAATCATTATATTTAGCTGGACACTTTTATTTTATAATATAGAAATGCTTTTCTTTGTAAATGCTTAGTTTTCTTAACTTCAAAATATATTGGAAAGATAATGCTAAAATAAAAATTTTAAAACATTGTATGCATTTAAATCTGTCTTCATCGCATAGTTATACAGTCACCTCTATGTGAAAACGTTGAACATTTTTATTTTCAATTGTCTTATTATCATACAAACTGATGAGTAACTTACTTTATTGCATCTTAATTGTCTGAATAAAAACTTAAGTTCCAGAGATAATAATTCATGCATATAACATTTCAGTTACAAAGAGTAAAATTAATTCACCTTTCATTCAAGAATCAGATGAAAGGCAACGTTTAATTATACCTTTTGAAGTTCTCCCTCTCAAAGACTGAGGTTTCGAAATAAATGGCACAAATGAGGAAGGACCTGAGAAATGAGCCTAATCACACGGCCAAATATCCTCTAAGAAGACAGGTGGAGGGATTTGGAATTTCTCCATTGCACTACATGATTGGGAGTTGTTCAAACCTCGCCAAAGATTGAAGTGAACATTTTTAATGGCCTCCTTTTCCCTATGGTTTTGCTTCTTTTAGCTGGCTGTTTATACTTTTCCCACAGCAGTATTTGGGCTTCTTGTGCTATGTTCTGTGTTGCCCTCCATGCTGCCTGTAACAACTCACTCTTTCTGTCTTTGCAGAACGCATCCTTCAGAGTGCCACAGCACATGGATTTCAGAACTACCTGTGAGGAGGTAAGTCAAAGAAATTTCTACCTGTTGCAGATTTTAATCAGAAAACACTTGACCAGACTCTATAAACATGAAACTTTTCCTAGGGAAAAGACTCATTAACACCAGAATACAATTGATTAATTAATTTTATTTTATTTTATTTATTTTAAATTGTTTTTATTGAGCAATATAGTCCTCTCCTCTCCTCTCCTCTCCTCTCCTCTCCTCTCCTCTCCTCTCCTCTCCTCTCTTCTCCTCTCCTCTCCTCTACTATGATCCCCATGCTCCAAATTTACTCAGGAGATTTTGTCTTTTTCTACTTACATTTAGATTTCTGGATTTGTCTTTTTTTGGTGGCTGTTTTGTTCCCTGGTGTCTGTTTTCTCTCTTGATTTTCAGAGAGTGTGATACCTGTGCGTTGTCTAGTAGGAAATTAACTTTGGATTTGATCTCATTGAGGGCACTGGTTGATCTAAGTAAAACTCAGTTCTGGGTAATGGGAGCTGATAATTAGGAATGGGAATATGTTAAGGGGCCTGACGGGGTTCACAGGAGGTAGGAGAGCAGAGTGTTCAACCCAGATGTGCTTATTCAGTCTCTTTTGAACGGGGGAAGTGGACAGAAGTCATCCCAGAAGGTCTGCTATTGTGTTGTTAATTATAATGGGGGATTTAATTAGAGGAAAAGGAGACAGATGATCTACAGACAGCCCACCTGCTTCAATATCACTTGTGGCCTATGGGTTAGCAAGAGGTTGGGGCTAGGATAGAACAAGAGTTGGGGGAGGAAGGTTAGGAGTGGATGACCTGTAAGATGCACAAGAAATGTGGTGGTGGGGACCGCAGCTGGTGCCCTGCTCTAGAGCTAAGGATGAGAGTGGGACATTTGATTTGGAGGGGAAGGAGGATGGGTGAATGTCTTAAGTTGGTACCTGTTGCAATGGTTTGCTTTTCATGTGTGTTTCCAGTGACTTCTGGTGTTGGAGGGTGGGATAACTGGATGAGATGGGGAAAGAAAGATGAGAGGGGAAAATCTCTGTGATTCATTAAAAAATGAGTTCAGCAAGGAAAAGGAGAGTGTCTGAAAGGTTCTACTACAGACAGGGAAATGAGACTGAGGAGGTTGGATCTGGAGGAGAAGGAGAGGTATGGATATGCTGTCATCCTCTCTATGATTAATTGCTAATTTGTACCTTATCTCATTTAGATAGATGTTCATTCCTGCTTTTTTATTGTTGTTTATTTTTACCTTTTCCTGCTTGTTCTATTGTTTGTGTTCATACTATTTATTTTTAGTTGTGGAGTTGAGGGTTTTTTTTTTTTTTGCCTTTTCCTGTTGGTTGTGCTATGTTTGTTCACATCTGTCAGAGTGGGTGATGTCATGGTATGCATGTGATATTCTCTGCAGAGACTGGTCCTTGAGAGCTGTGCTACAGTTTAAGATGAGTTAACCGCTTGTTCATCCTGGCCTTCTGGCTAGCTGAGCCCCAAAATAACCACACAGAAACTGTATTCATTAAAACACTGTTTGGCCCATTAGCTCTAACTTCTTATTAGCTAACTCTTATATTAATTTAATCCATTTCTATTAATCAGTATATCACCACGTGGCTCTGGCTTACAGGGAAAATTCCCAGTGTCTATCTCTGGTGGCTCAATGGCTTCTTCCTAACTCTGCCTTCTTTTTCCCAGTAAGCCATTTAGTTTTCCCTGCCTACCTAAGTTCTGCCCTATCAACAGGTTAAGGCAGTTTCTTTGTTCATTAACCAATGAAAGCAACACATAGACAGAAGGACCTCCCTCACCATTTCCACTTTTCTGTTTAAACAAAAAGGAAAGGCTTTAACTTTAACATAGTAAAATTTCATATAACAAAACAAGTATCAAGCAAGAATTACAGTTACAATATTCTATTTACTTTATCTTTTATCATAACTAAAGAAAACTGTAACTATCTATTTTTTTGGTATAGACCAAAGAGTTGTATTGATGGGTCTATCTATGGTAGATCTGATTTATATTGTGGAAGCTACTCCACACTGATTATCATAGTGGCTGAACCAAGGAATTGGAGCAAACAGTACTACTACACACTATAAAGCCTGTGATCACAACAATGATTAGCTTAGCAAGATATCCCTAATGCTATAATAGACTGCTTATTTTGTAGATAATCATCAGCTACCTAATTGAATAAAAAGCTTGCTTGATAAAAGAAAATTCATGTCTTTTACCTAGCTAATTGCTCACAGCTGGAGTCGTTGTAGGTGCTAAGTATCTACTAAAGCAATTTTCCTAAACTTATGTAGTTTTGAATTATATTTGAAATATTTCTTAACCCCCCCCCAAAAAAATACATGCATTTTCAGTCCACATCAAAGGAAAAATTAAATAACGAAAAGAAAACAGGGGAATGCATCCATGAACTCTCAAGAATATAGTTATCTGAACAGACCAACAAAATATGACCACACCACTTGTCATGTCAACTGTCTTAGTCAGGGTTTCTACTGCTTCAATAAAACACCATGACCAAAAATAAGTTGGGAAGGAAAGGATTATTTCCTTACGTTTCCACATTGTCGTCCATCATTGAAGGAAGTCAGGATGGGAATTCAAACAGTGTAGAAACTGGGAGGCAGGAGCTGATGTAGAGACCATAGAGGAGTATTGCCTGCCTACAGGGTTGGCCTCATGGCTTGTTCAGTCTACTTTGTTTTACAATCAGGGCCAACAGCCTAGAAATCTCAAAATTGACTAGTCCCTTCCCAATCAATCAATAATTAAGAAAATGCCTTTAAGCCAGATTTTATGACGGAATTTTCCCAATTGAGATTTCATCCTTTCTGATAACTCTAGTTTGTATGTCAAGTTATCATAAGACTAGTCAGCCCATCAATAAGGTCTCATCCCTAAGAGAATAACTAGAGGTGGTCAATGGCTTTTGAGAGAGAGAGAGAGAGAATTAATTACTTCCGTGGGTGAGCTCACACATAGGTTGCCCAACCCTAAAGGGTTAGGTCTGAACACATAAAGCATGAGTGATGCTAATTAAATTCAATAGCTTTTATATGCAGAAGAGATAATGAATTTCAGAAGAAGTTGGGCAGAACTGAGGCAAGGTAGGGTTGGAAGTAGTTTAGGTACAGTGCTCATGTATGACATTGAAACATAAAATCTTAAATGTAAATAAATTTAGCTAAGTGTGATGGTGTATACTTGTACTATTACCACTCAGAAATTATGGGCAGGTGGATGTCTAAATCTGAGGCCAACAAATTTGCAATAGATTCCAGGACAGCCAGGGTTATACAGGGAAACCTTGTTTTGAAAAAAAAAAAAGCAAAAATTAGAAAACAAATTGCTTAACCTCTCACAGCAAGCTATGCAGTGGGAGAAGATCTTTAAGAATTATACAGATGATAGGTGGTGAATATCTAAAATATATGAACAACAACAACAACAAAACAATTGGACATAAGGAAAACAAAACCCAATTAAATGATGGGTACAGAAGTAAACCCAGAGTTCCCAGAAGATGAAACACAAATGCCTAACAAAGAAGTGGTCTGTGTTCTTGGTTTTCAGAGAATGATAATCAAAACTACTGTGAGATTTTGTCCTATACCAGTCAGAATGACCAAGATCAATAAAACCAATAGCAGTTCATGTGACAAGGATATGGGGAAAGGGGATCTTATTCTGTGCTTGTAAGAGTGCAAACTTGCACAGCCACTTTGGAAATCAATGTGACGATTCCTCAGAAAGTAAGGAATAGTTCTACCTCAAGACCCAGCTATATCACTCTTAGGCAAGTGCCCAAAATTATAAATCCTGCTTCCTCATCTATGTTAATTGATGCTTTAGTCATAATGGGCAAAAATTGGTAAAAGCCTAGATGTCCATAAAAAGATGAATGGGGTAATGAAAATGTGGTACATTTACACAGTGGAATACTAATCAGCTATTAAAGGTGAAATCATGATGTTTGCTGGTAGATTAATGGCTAGCAAAAAAATTATCCTGAGTAAGTTAACTCAGAAACAAAAGAGAAATATTACATGCATTCTCTTATATGTAGATTTTAGTTTTTGAACTATTGATATATATGTATATGATATATATATATATATACAATATATGTGTATATATATATGTATTACTACTGTGGTTAGGTATAAGTATAAAGTAAGAGACTAGCAGGAAATGGATGATTTTTTTAAGGACTGGTAGATAGAATATATGAATATATAATTTTGGAGAGAGTGGAAAAGGGGGATAGGAGTATGAGTATAAAATGGTGAGGGGAAAAGAGCATAAGAGAAGGAATATGAGCAGTAACATCTAACTCTCAGGGTCATTTGTGGAGTCATATGGAAATCAATGAGCTTCTTAAATTTGAGGTTCATTAAATACGTGTATAACTGAAAGAAATATAAATGGAGTCACAAAGTAATGGCAGAGTCAATGCCCCAACTAGGCATCTCACATCTCTGCCTTAAACATTACCACAACCTAGAGAGAAACTAGTTCCTGGACTGCCTGGGATATGAAAAAAATCCGCAGTGTCAGCATACCAAGACTTTTCTATCTGAGGGTTTGTGGAAAACAGACTCTCATGCACTTATCTGATAGATCCTTCTCTGTCCTCTCATGTTGTCATAGCTTGCTTTCTTTGTTCTTCACAGCTAGATATACCCATCCAAACCTTTCAGGAAATACAGGAATCACATATGAAGGACACATTCCATTTCAGTAAATGATAAAAATAGAGTCATCTTGACAACTCATAAGCAATAAATCTAAATAACTTGTCATAGATCATGAAAGTAGCATTTTTCTCAGACAACCCCCTTATTAGTGGGCTGTAACTTACAGCTGCAAAGAAAGAATCAGTCATTAATTATCTGTCTAGAGATGAAATCTTATAAAGGGTTTTAAAGGCATTATAATCTTAACCTACTGAGGAGTTTAAGAAAATACTGTAACATATACTTTGGAGCATATAGACATTTTGAACTAATATTCTGTGAACAGAAGTTGTACAATGCTGGGCTTTTTGTTGGACTCAGCGCGTGCCATGTTTGATGTGTCATAAAGTCTTTAGTTTAGGCCCATGGTGCTGTCAGTCTTTAGCATCAGCTCAGTTGGCACTCCCCAAGGCCTTGTGACACTTGTAGCATTTTAAATCTCAGAATGTACTTTCTGTCCTGCGTATAACTCTAGACGATAAAAAAGGAAACATAACTATTTCTCAGGGAAATGAGGTCAAATTACTTTCTTGTAGCACTGACCAGCAAGATCTTCTCTTCCTGTGGTGTTTCTGAACAAAAGCTGTATTAATTACTGTCCTAGGATAACAATCACACCAAGTAATGAAACTGTGTGCAGCAATTGGGTTGCTTTGCACTCTTAAATCTGGCTCAACAAATCAGACAGCTTGGCTATATATCCTTGTAAACTAGATTGCGTTTCTAGAAATAGTTTATCTTAAAAACCATAAGCAAGGCATCTAGTTTAATGTAAAGCTATTTTGAAGTTTTATATCAGCTGATAGTGTACATCTCTCCTGGCAGCTGGGGAAAATTCCACCAGTTTCTTGTCAACGTAAGCTGTGATGTAAAACATCTCCTAGGAGTAGCTCATAAACTTTAACTTTGTATCATTTTTTTATTTATTTTTAATCATCAGAATTCTATAAAAGCTAACATTATTGATATCAATTATGCAATACAGGTTAAGGAGGAATCATCTTCTAGACAATCCACAGATAAAAATGCCCAGTAGATTGTGATGTACTCATGAGTCAAACGCACTGTGATAAAGGGAAATTTGCAGCAGCACAGGTGAAGTTACAGACAAGAGCAGAAGATATTCCAAAGTCTGTAGCCTCGTGGCCTTTCCTAATGAGACTTTCCCATCAGAAAGTTTTCCTCCTGACACCTTGAATATTAATTACCATCTGCTGTTAATAATGCACGGCCCATGGCAAAATATGTCAGGATTGGTTTATATATAATTCAGTTGTTGGCCAAAGGGATCCCATGGAAACCCCTAACAACTTGGGCTGTTGACAAGGCTGTTAGTTGCTCTCCACCAACTGAGAGTAAGGCTCTATTGTTGAAGAGGATATTTATATTTCTTCTTGAACATAGAGAAGAGTAGTTGAGCTGGGGCTTAACTATAGCCTTCATCTCTGCTGACCAATATTTATTGAACTGTAAGGTACTCTGCATACTAACAGAGGAGAAAGCTAATCATCATCCCACCTACAAACCTTTCAGTCTATGATAGCAACCTGTTTGTAGGCTAAAGTCATACACATGTGGGTGTAACTAACTACTCTCAGTTTGGGTTTAAAGCCCATTCCGCAAGATGAAGCCCATAAACAACGTTCTTGGATTGTTTAGAACCTGAGACTAGATGGTCCATGACCTAGGCAAAACCAAGTACTGCTGAAGTAAGTTAACAATAAAATGACTTCTTAGTGATATCCTACTACACCTGTAGATCAGAGCTTCACTCAGCCATCATCGTAAAAGATTTCTCTTGTAGTAAATGGGAACTCTTGCAGAGACCCACAACAAGACAATATGCAGAGAGTGCAAGCATTTAAGACACTGGTTCCTGAACTGAATTCTTTTCTTCCCAAGGATCAGGGGGCTATGTGGAAAGGGAGGTGAAAGATTGTAAGAATTAAAGCAGCTAGATGACTTCCAGGAAAGAGTGATTTCCAGACATAGGGGACTAATGTACATATGACTTCACAGAAACTTTGTCAGAATGTACAGTTCCTGCACAGATTTATCCTAATTTTGTCCCAGAGTCGAAAAGGGGAATTAGGCACGAGCTCCCAATCCTAAGAAGGTATCTCCAATTTGCAACTCTTAGAAAAGGAAAATAAATTTTCCATTATGGAGTCTCAAAGGACATATAAATCACACTTTGGGGTTGGTCCTGTGCTCAATAGTAATTGATCAATAAAAAACAACTCAATGTTACTTTTGTAGGTTTTACTTGCTTTCTTTTTTAAACCTCATATTGCTTCATTTGGGCTTTTGAAAATCTTACTTGTACTTTGTGTATTATGGTTTTAGCTTCTATGTTTTTATGTGTTTTGTTTGTGTATGATTTTATGGTTATGTCTCTCTGTGTATGATTCTTTTTAAATTGTCTTTTTTTTTATTTTCTTCCTAAAGAGAGAGAAAAATATTATATGGAGGTGTAGAGTTGGACAGCTGGGGAGATGGGAAAGATCTTGGAAGAAATGCAGTAGGGGAAACTGTAATCAAAATATACCCTGTGATAAACATTTATTTTCAATATTAATAGTGGGGTTTATTACCCAGAATACTGATTTCCATTCAAAGGAAAAACAAGAGGATTGTGAAACTCAGGCAAACAAAAATCAATTCCATATCAAATATATACATAGTCTGAGGTGTTTCTGGCATTCTGATCCTGGGTTTCTTTGTGAGACTTACTGAAGACTTGATTCTAACATATAACAGGACACTTTGCTTTGCATATACTATCACATCAAATGAAGCCAATGCACGCTGACAGAAAATTTTAGCTCATATTCCCTGCTACTAATTGTTATGAGCTTTAGTGTTTTTACTGTACCTACAAAGTTCTGCTCCTATGGAAATATAGTGGTTCTATTTAAAAAAAACAAATCACTTTAATATTTTATACTATCCTTACATAGTTTATAAATATGAAATTAATACACCTTTGAATTTTGTGTATCATGATGGTTGATTTGAAAAATTATCATCTGAGTTGCTGATTTCAGTTGCAAAAATTATTGAATGAAATTCATCTTGGGATTAGGATAAAAATTTCAAAATTTTCAACAGTTTTTGAAAAGCCTACAAATGTTTTTTGGTCCCTTTTCCCTGTGGTGTTCTTAGAATTGGTTGCTATAAATATCAATGAACTCTAAAAAAGCTTTGAAATTGCTCTATGTCCCGAATATTAAATATCCAGATTTAATTCTTTGTACAAAAATAAACAAATCCATCTGTTCACCATGACCCACACAAATAGTAATATTGGATGTTAAGTATATTGTATTTTTATAAACACTATAAGACATTCTTGGGATACAGACCAGCTAATGTCCATGTATATAATCTTATTCCAGATCAAACTTGGTATTATTTATTTAACTACATACTCTCATTAAATAAGATGAATACACATCCCTAGATACTAATTCATTGAGCCAAGTATGACCAGTAATTATTAAAAAAAAACAGCTTTTGAAGTAATCTTTGTTCTTATTGTCTTCTTGATTCACAATCAGATGAGAAAGGACAAATTTAAAAGTATTCAATCTGTTCACACAATTCCAAAAAATGTGTCAAGCAAATACACAAGCTTTAAATAAATTTTTTAGTTTATAGTAAATCTGTCTATAAATATTTCCATTCATTCATATAGTTTTCAAACCCTCATCTTCACTTCTTTATAGATTCAAAAATATTTGTGGGTGTGCTCACAACTAAAGGTGATAACATAGTAGAAATCTAAGAAAACCTAAGCATGTTTTTTTTTCAATTTTGAATTTCATATCTAAGACAGAAGGTGACTTAATGCTCACTAACTCAAGAATGAGTCATAGAGACCAGATTTGCAGGATTGTTCTTTCTTATCTTTCTTTTTGGAGTAATCAGAGTTACTTGAAATTTATTAGGCACTTGTGCATGGTCCAGAATATTCGTACACAAACTATGACTTACAAACATTAAAATGTTGAACTCTACGCAATGTAAAAGCGATCTCAATGTACCTATTACTTTCATATTTTAACTCTTAATATTTCTATCATTTCTCAGTGTAATGAAGCACGTTTGATGCAGTCTTTCCTCCTGTGTCTCAGTGTGGTCTCTCTAGCATAGCCCCAGTTATCTATACTTCCACATTGCTCGAAGTTATTATCCATTCATTAGCACGTCTGTAAAGTCATGTGTGGGTAACCTAAAGCATTTCCCTTACCTCAAAAATGTTACCCATCACACTTTGCTGCCAGTAGTTCTGAGAATCATAACCCATGAATTGAGCATTTTTCTCTTTCTTGTTCTTTTTATCTAAAGTCGAAGACAGGGGTTTGCTTGCTACAAGATGGTAATCAGGAACCTTTTAAAGTCCGGCTGCATCTTGCCAGAGATCTGCTGATGCTACAGGAGCAAGACGTTCTGTGTGTGTCTGGTGAGCCTTTCTATTCTGGTGTAAGTACCTCTCCCTTTGGCATTTTTGCTTGTGCTTTTTGATGATGAAAATGCTTCTTCAAAGAGAATGTTGAATAATTTCTCTCACTTTGGAACCAGTCAATGGTCCTGTAGGTAATTTGTGTTCACACTGCTCAGTGAGCTATGTCCCTGTTTAAGGACATTAATTATGCCACAACACACTGTAGAGCCTTCTTTCTTTGTCTCCTCAGTCCTTGCTTCATATGGCAGGGAATGCAATCTGATTATGAAAGAGTGCAGGTAGTTTTCAAATATGCATCCTAATGCCCTTGGTCCTGAGCTTATCATGATAATACCACTCAAGATTGGTACTGAATGTGATGGTAGAAATCACTTCCCAGTGCCTTTGAAGAGATTCAAGGCACTGCTCACTGAATTCAATTGAATTGTTTCTCCCTTGACTGTAAATGTAATTCACAACTTACCAACCAGAAGGCATTTAAAGATGAATTTGACATGTGTATAATATCTATCCTGAAAACTTCAGAACATGACAAATAAAAATAATTGAAAAAACAGGGTAATGGAAGAAAATAACAGTGATCAGCATGAATTAAAGACTGCATATTGATCTGATATCATATTCTCCCAAATATTTCAAAGCAGATTAAGACAGCTTGTAGTGTAAAAGTGATACTTGGGTGGTATTTGTCAGTTTAGTGACATTACCACCCCTCCAGGTAGAATCATCCTTGTGGGGCCCCCTCATCTTTTAGGAAACTACAATGGTTTTTATTTAGAATGGTCATAGTTCACCTCAGGATGATTATCCTCACAAAAATAACTTAAACTTCCTTATTTTTGACAAATTTTTGAAAAATACACACCAGAGAGAACATACATCTTCAATAGTTAGTGGCTAGAAAATAGAATCTCTAAATTTAGAATAATTAAACTTGATCTTTATCTTTTGTCTTACATGAAAACCAATTCCAGGGAGATTCAAACACTCAATGTGACAACTGAAACTCAAAAAAGTGGCAAAAGAAAATGTAGGGAATATGAAAAAAAAGCACTATAAACTTAAGTAAGAATTTTCTAAATAGTATTCAATCAAGTCAGAAAACAAGGTCAACAACAGACAAATGAGATGAGAAATAGAAGGGCTTCCTCCATCAACTGTTGATATGTTTTTCTTCCACCAAAAACTCCGGGAGACCCTGAGGAGCAGGAGTTGTGCTACCAATCATCCAGAGATACTCAGTCACCCAGCAAGGAGCTCTCTTAAGAGTGTTCTATGGGATTTACTGTGAGGAATGAATTTTTTTCACAGAAAGGTTTGCACTGGAAAGTTGAAAATCTCATTAATTTGAAGTTATGAGGAGCCAGTTTGGTTATAGGGCTACAGATCTTTTCTCAGCCACTTCTGTTAATATTTAGCCCAAAACAGATTTGAGCCCACAGCCATGGCTGTGGTAAGAAATATGAATGTGCTCATTCAGAGGAAGAAGTCATGGGTGTTTATAAAGCAGGCAATAAAGAGTGGTTTCTTCACCATATTTGTACAGACATGAGTGAAACAAGTACAGTCAAGTAAAGAAAGTGGGTAAGATAATGAAGAGAGGGGGACAAGGTTTCTCTGAACTCTGTGTGGTCACAATAGAATGTAATTCTCATTTCAGAACTTGATGTGGATACGGAACAAGGTGAAGGGGACTGTTGACACAGGAACACTAAAGTCACTGTGCAATACGTGAAAGAGGGTGGGCCCTAAGATCACCAAGAATAGTTCCATGGAAACCTGAGGATGCTTAAATCCCTTCTATAAAACTAAAGAATACAATAATTATCTACCAGATACTTCAAATTCAGAGTTTAATAGAAACTCTCCTTTTATTTTGAATTTGCTTCTTTCTCAGGACTGACACAGCTGTTGCTAGGCAGCAGCGGGAGCCACAGTTCTGTCAGTCAAGCAATGCATAGGGATGAAGGGCCCTTCTTTTCCAGTCTCCCTTCCTATTAGACTGTGTATTAAATAAGCTTTTGACAATTGTGTTTTCAAATAGATTACATCATCCAGCTACAGCCTTATCTAAAATGCGGAGACCTCAGCATTTTCCTGTGAATCACAGAGTTCCTCTGCATGCTATAAATCATCTCTCGTGATTTCAAAACAGCAGGCATGCTGCAAATGAATATTTAAGTAATTCTTTTGCCTTCCTCTCTAATGAATAAAAACATCATTATGTCCAATATATGTATAAATGTTTTTTTCAAGTATTCTTGAAATCTGTGGCTAATTGAATATGTGACGACGGGAGGCTGACTGTATACTGAACTACCACAGATCAAAGCATTAGATACACAGAATACTTGCAATCTCAGTTGAAACATTTTAATGTATACGTTAGATAATAGTGGTAAAATTTACAAAGAATAGGAATATCAGTGAGATATAAACCATACACATGAATATTCGCTGCATTTACAATAAATGTGTTCTAACATTCAGGGGTACTGAAATGTTCTCAGAAAGGGCCGTGCAAATGAAATATTGCTATAAAGTCTTATAAAGAGAAAGAAAACAAACAACCGCAAAGAACTAGCTTGTTAATTTTGAATTAGGATTATTACAGCATCTATGATTCTTTCTCACAGTACATCTGTGAGTTCCATTTGTTTTCCAAGCATCTCCTAATATCCTCCTAATATCAGTTCATTGTATTCATGATAGTTTGCTCCCATACAGAGACTCACTGCCATCATGGACATCTCAAATATGCTCCAAGAAAATCTGTTTTCATTTTTTTCCAAGAGCCTAAGGATGCTAGCAAGCCAAATATTTTCTTCTTTTCTAATTTTCCTTTTTACCATAACTTCTTTTTTTTTATTGAGAAAAGGAGAAAAAAAAACAAGTTTCCACCTCCTCCCAGCCTCCCATTTCCCTCCCCCTCCTCCCACCCTTCTCCCCCTCCTCCCACCCTTCTCCCCCTCCTCCCACTCCTCACCCTCTCCCTCTCCAGTCCAAAGAGCAGTCTGGGTTCCCTGCCCTGTGGTAAGTCCTAGGTCCTCCCCACTCCGTCCATATCTAGGAAGGTGAACATCCAAACTGGCTAGGCTCCCACAAAGCCAGCACATTAAGTAGGATCAAAACCCCGTGCCATTGTTCTTGGCTTCTTATCAGCCCTCATTGTTCGCCATGTTCAGAGAGTCCGGTTTTATCCCATGCTTTTTCAGTCACAGTCCCGCTGGCCTTGGTGAGCTCCCAGTAGATCAGCTCCACTGTCTCAGTGGGTGGATGCACCCCTCCTGGTCCCGACTTCTTTGCTCATGTTCTCCCTCCTTCTGCTCCTCATTGGGACCTAGGGAGCTCAGTCCAGTGCTCCAGTGTGGGTCTCTGTCTCTATCTCCATCCATCACCAGATGAAGATTCTATGATGATATGCAAGATATTCGTCAGTATTGCTCTAGGATAGGGTCATTTCAGGTTCCCTATCCTCAGCTGCCCAAGGATCTAACTGGGAACCTCAGCTTGGGCACCTGGGAGCCCCTCTAGGATCAAGTCTCTTGCCCACCCTAAAGTGGCTCCCTTAACTAAGAATTGTGGTTCCGTGCTCCCCTATCCAACCTTCCTTTATCCCAGTCCTCCTGTTTCCCCAAGTCCCCCCTCCTTCCCTTCTACCTTTTCTCTCCCCATCTCCCCTTACTCCCATCCCACCCCACCCCCAAGATCCCAATTTTCTCTCTGGCAATTTTGTCTACTTCCCTTAGCCAAGAGGATAACTATATGTTTTTCCTTGGGTTCACCTTCTTACTTAGCTTCTTTAGGTTCACCTATTGTAGACTCCGTGACCCTTATTTATGGCTAAAAACCAATTATGAGTGAGTACATCCCATGTTCATCTTTTTGGGTCTGGGATACCTTACTCAGGATAGTGTTTTATATTTCCATCCATTTGCATGCAAAATTCGAGAAGACACTGTCACTAAGACACAAAGGCAACCTACTGACTGGGAGAAGATCTTCCCCAACCCTGCAACAGACAAAGGTCTGATCTCCAAAATATATAGAGAACTCAAGAAACTAGACTTTAAAATGCTAATTAACCAAATTAAAAAATGGGGCACTGAACTGAACAGAGAATTCTCAACAGAAGTTCAAATGGCCAAAAGACACTTAAGGTCGTGCTCAACTTCCTTAGCAATCAAGGAAATGCAAATCAAAACAACTTTGAGATATCATCTTACACCTGTCAGAATGGCTAAAATAAAAAACACCAAGGATAGCCTTTGCTGGAGAGGCTGTGGAGGAAGGGATACCCTCATCCATTGCTGGTGGGAATGCAAACTTGTGCAACCACTGTGGAAGTCAGTGTTTCGGTTTCTCAGGAAATTCGGGATCAACCTACCCCTGGACCCAGCCATACCGGGAATATACCCAAGAGATGCTCTATCATATGACAAAAGCATTTGTTCAACTATGTTCATAGCAGTATTATTTGTAATAGCCAGAACCTGGAAACAACCTAGATGTCCTTCAATGGAAGAATGGATGAAGAAAGTATGGAATATATACACACTAGAGTACTATGCTGCGGTAAAAAACAATGACTTCTCGAATTTTACTATAACTTCTTAAAAAATATTTTTAGGTTATTATATAATGACATCATTCTTCCCCCTCTCTTTTCTCCCTCTCTTTGACTGGACTTTGGGAGCTCAGTCCAGTGCTCTACTGTGTTTCTCTGCATCTGCTTCCATCATTTGTTGGATGAAGGTTCTATGATGACATTTAAGGTAGTCATCAATCTGATTACAGGGCAAGACCAGTTCTAACATTCTCTTCATAATTGTTTAGGGTTTTAGCTGGGGTCATCCTTGTGGATTCCTGGGAATTTCTCTAGTACCAGATCTCTTACTAGCCCCATAATGGCTCCCTCAATCAAAATATCAAACTTTCCTTGTTCTCTCTCTCTGTCATTTCCCTGTCTCCACCATCCTGATTCCTCCAGTTCTCCTTCCACCTTCCCTTCTACTCT